CTATATTTATCTCTTACAAACAGGAAAATATAAAATTTATCCCCTTTGAATAATAGTTTATATGTAATATAGTATATACCATAAAATAATACATATAATATAGCATGCAATATAATACATATTATATAAAATAATATATAACATACATGTTATATGATTATATAGAAACTAGTATATGTAATATACATATTTATATATATACATATTTTATATATATATAAACTAATTTATAATTTATAAATTTATAGAATTTGTAACATAATTACATAATGTATAAACTAAAAATATACACTTATATAAACTATATACTGTATATATTAAACAAATTTGATTATAGGTACATGTTAATATATACATGTTTAATTATAGTATATATATAACTATTACTATAGTTATATAACTATATATAAATATACATGTATTATTCTAAAGGGAAAAGGTTATATTTTTCTGTGTCTTTTATAAAAGATGAATTTATATATGTCTATAATTGAAATGTATATTTATATATAATACATAACATATACTAAATATATTGTATTAACTCCATAATTTATATATGTAATTATATATCCTATATTGTGTAGTATAATATATATTATATATAAATACACATATATTATTCTAAGGGGAAAATTTTATATTTTTGTGTTTCTAAGAGATGAGTATACACAAATATATATGCAATATATATTTATAAATAGAATAAAATATACTATATATAATTTATATGTAATTGTATATTATATAAAAGTATATACTATGCAATATATATATATTATATATTTAAACATGTACTAGTCTAAGAGGGAAATATACTAATATAGTAATATCAATTTATTATATAACTGTTATTTAATATATGATATATACTGTAGTACAGTATATATAATATTATTCCATGGGGGGAAATGTTTTATTTTTCTGTTTGTATAAGAGATGAAAACAGTGGATACTTTTTTTCAATTGGTAATGATTGAGTTAATCTTTCTCAAGGCAGTTTCTTTCTGAGTACATATATTCCTTGACTTACCACAGGGTTAGGTCCCAACAAACCCACTTTAGGTTGAAAATATTAAAAGTCAAAAATGCATTTAATACTCCTAACCTACCCAACATCATAGCTTAGCCTAGCCTACCTTAATTGTGCTCAAAACACTTACATTGGCCTACAGTTGAACAAAATCATCTAATAGGAAGCCTATTTTGTAATAAAGTGTTGAATGTCTCATGTAATGTATTGAATACTGTACTGAGTGGGAAAAACCAGAGTGGCTGTAAAGACACAATGGTTGTCAGGGTATCAACTGTTCACCCGCACGATCAGGGGGCTGACTGGGAACTGCAGCTGATGAAAATATCGCACCACAGATCACTAGCCTGGGAAAAGATCAAAATTCAAACTTCAAAGTATGAGGTTTATTGAATGCTTATCACTTTCATACTGTTGTAAAGTCGAGCATTTTTTATTTTTTAAATTTAAGTTAGTTAACACATGTGTAGTATTGGTTTTAGGAGTAGAATTTAGTGATCCATCACTTATATATAACACCCAGTGCTTATCCCAACAAGAGGCCTCTTTAATGCTCATCACCCATTTAGCCCATCCCCCACCCCACAACCCCTCCAGCAACCCTCAGTTTGTTCTTTTAACTATAGAGTCTCTTATGGTTTACCTCTCTCTGTTTTTATCTTATTTTTCCTTCCCTTTCCCTATGTTCATCTGCTTTGTTTCTTAAATTCCAAATATAAGTGAAATCATATATTTGTCTTTCTCTGACTTATTTCACTTAGCATAATACACTCTAGTTCTATCCACGTTGTTGCAAATGGCAAGATTTCATTATTTTTGATGACTGAGTAATATTCCAGAGGGTGTGTGTGTGTGTGTGTGTGTGTGTGTGTGTGTGTGTGTATCTCACATCTTCTTTATCCATTCATCAGTCATGGGCCAAATCATGGAAAGAATCCAAAAGCCAAAACTTTTTAATTGGAGACTGTCTGTAATTCAAAATCTGGTCCTTCTGAAGTCTTAGAAACTAAGCTGAAATACCAGGTTAAGCACAGTCCAAGAAATCTGTTCAAACTAAAATTCTTCTGTCTACTTTTGTGGTGCTTGAGAAAGAGACTTCATGATTTATGAGAAAATGTGTTTTATCTTGGAAATTATGTTCAAACATTAGCTTACTATTTTGTGGAATGAATACTTATTAAGTGGCCATGAGATCATCTCAAAAGAACCAAGCAGGTTCACAGGTGGTCTTGCTTTTCTGAACATTTGTGAATATTACACATTTCTTTCTAATATATTCTAGAGTATGCAATGGTCAATAGAATGAAATATACATTGTACTGGAAGAATTAATGTATCACTTTAGTGATATACTTGAACTAAATGACTAAAGGTTTAGGGGTGCATAGAAACCACAATAATTTGTGTAACATTTTGAAGTGCATTAAATATTTTTTCACATGACTCTTCAACAGCCAGTATTCTTTCTTTGTTATCAACACAAAGCATAATGACTACTCAAAATGCAATATTTTTCATTCACATATTGTAAGTCATGTGACTTATACAACCTCCCTGTCAAAATTACTGGCTGCCAAATATATCTGTTTCTTCAGGTGTATCTTTTGATTTTTTAAAAAATTTCTGTAAAATAGATGTTATAGAATGTAACACCTTTGATGTCTTTGTGAAGGGGTGTACAATTGTATGATTCCTGATTGTAAACGGAATGCTTGGGCTTTTTTTTAATAAAGATTTTATTTACTTATTTGAGAGAGAGAGAGTGTGTGTGTGCAAGCACTAGCAGGGGGAGCGGCAGAGGGAGGGGGAGAAGCAGACTCCCCACTGAACAGGGAGCCCAACACGGGGCTTGATCCCAGGACCCCAAGATCATGACTTGAGCTGACGGCAGCCGCTTAACCAACTGAGCCACCCAGGTGCCCCTGAATGCTTGGGCTTTTAATCAGAATTTTAGATAGCAGTAAATATTAAAGTTATAACAAGTAATATGTAAATGTTGTAAGAACTGTACAACACCGAATGAATCTCAGATTTTGGGCATAAAAAGTCAAAAAAGATGTATTATATGATTCCACTTATGTGAAATTCAAGAAAAAGTAAAACTAATCTGTGTAATAGATGTTAGAATAATAATTACCTCCAGTGTGTTGGGATATTGACTGAAAAAGAGCAAGAAATATTCTATATATTGATAGGGGTGTTGGTTACATACATATATACCTAAATACAACTTCATCAAGATCCAATTAAGATTAGTGCAATTTATAGTATTTGTTATACTTCAACAAAAGCATAATTATATATGCATGTTTATATGTAGACTTAAATATAGACATATACATATATGTACATAATTACATCATATTGGTTTAATAATATAAATTGCACTAATACACAATCACACACATATGCAAACTTCTTAAATGATGGCTTTTAACTGGAATTTCATATTAAATATTTTATGTTTGAATTAATTAATTTATTATGGTAAAAAAAATTAGATTTAGCCAGCTGGATTCAGTTTAGATGATCTCAGTTGTGTTGGCAACAACCAAAGCATCATAGTCAGGAGTCAGTGAAATATAGGTCTTCTTCTATCAGGCCTGATCAGGGAGTTGACCTTTGCCACATCAATGTCATAGAGCTACTTCACAGCCTGTTTGATCTGGTGCTTGTTGGCTTTGACATCCACAGTGAACACAAGTGTGTTATTGTTTCTATTTTCTTCATGGCTGACTCAGTAGTCAGGGGGAATTGATGATGGCATAGTGGTCAACCTTGCTTGTTTCTCCTGGGGGCTTTCTTTTGAGGATATTTGGGCTGCCTTCAGAGACACAGTGTCTTGGGCTGTTGAAATGTAGGTGGCCTGTGGATCTTTTTTTGGTGAATGTGGATGCATTTCAGCACCACTTTCTTGGTCTTCAAAGCCTTTGCCTTGGCTTCAGCTTTGGGAGGGGCAAGGACTTCCTTCTTTGTCTTTGTTGCCATCTTCATGAAAGGGTGAAATAATTTAATCCACATTATCTAAAGCAGTATGCCTCCACTATAACTTAGGACCTCAACCTAAAAACATGTATCTTCTTTAAAGAATTCCCAACCTTCTCTCCTATGATAAGACTATAAAAATGGCCACAGTTTGTTGCAATTCCTGCTATCAAGAGATGCAGTCTGTTCTATTCCTTGAATCTGGACTGAATTGTAATTTGCTTTGTACCACAGAATGAGGTAGAAGCCATATGATACTAGTTTTGAACCTGGACCATTAGGGGCTCTGTATTCTTTTGTTTGCTGCTTGTGGGATCTTTGCCACTGCCACCATGTGAACAAGCCTGAATTAGTCTGTTGGAGCATGAGACATCACATGGAGCCATCCAACCATGCCATTTATTTATTTTTTATTTTTTTTAAAAGATTTTGTTTATTTATTTAGAGCACATGTATGTGAGTGAGCAGGGGGAGGGGCAAAGGAAGAGGGAGAAAAACCTAAAGCAGACTTTGTGCTGAGTGTGTGGAGTCCAACACAGGGCTCAATCTCATGACCCTGAGATCATGACCTGAACCAAAACCAAGAGTCGGATGCTCAACCAACGGAGCCACCCAGGCACCCCTCCAACCATACCATTTTAGACTAGCCAATCCTCAGATGCCAAGTAGCTGCCCACAGATGTATGCATTAGCCCAGCTGTGATTAGTCAAATCTGTCCCTGATCAGCAGAACCACCCAGTTAAGCCCAACCCAAATTCATAAACCACATTATCATGAACTAAGTAAATGGTTGGTGCTATAAGTCACTAAGTTTTTCGGTGGTTCATTACACAGCAAAAACTAATTGCTATCGATCCATTATAATTCTTTACCTGAGAGAGTAAATTTTTGGAGCACTGCCATCTCTGGGCCAATATTAAACTTATGACTCCACAGTCTATGTTTACTGAGAATTGTGAGCATTTGTTAAATAACCCTTACCTTAATGGGATTCCTATAGAAAGACTTCTTTCCTGAAGATGGGAATGACATAGCAATAATACGCTCTGGAAGTCAAAATAGTCACTATTATGAATGTCATTATAAATGTGAAACAATATATGAGAACTTAACTTATATATAATCAGACTCTTTTTTCATAGAAAAGAACTTTCTGGATTGAGAATGACAGGGGGAAAAAAGCTACCTCTCAGGATAATCCAGATAACATATTAAATTATCTGATATAATGACGATTAAACTCACATAGTGTTCTTAAGACTCAACTGGTTCCAGCCATATGGGACAGATTTGTGTTGACCGGTGGTGAGAATTTATTTCCTATTTAAACACCAAAGAAAAATGAGAGATCTGGGCTCCAGCAATGGTGGAAACTCTCAGGGTGCCTTCCAGTGCTCCTGACTCAGAAAACTGAGACCCCTTATTCTCTAGGGTTTTAGGAAGAGAACAGGTCTCTTTGAAATCCTTGCGACCCAGAAAGACTAATAGAACTCAAATTCCAAACAAAACAAAGGGAGCCAACTGGAAATCCATTCAATTTCCTGTACAGTAACCAAGCAGCCCTGATTTGAGAGGACAATGCAGATTTTCCATTGTCAGGGATAAACTACAAATATGTTGTGCTACCATATGGCTCATGTCTTCATGGATAAAGAATGCTTTGAAAGAACACGGATCAGAAAAAGCAAGAACAAAATTCACATAATTACTCACACACCAGGAAGATTTGAAGTTAATATAAGTAAATCAACAGTTAAACTTTACAAACCAGTAACATAAGTGAGGTCTAAGTCAAATCCATCCTTCTTGTATCGCCGTTTGTTTCCTGAAACCTAAGAGTTTAAAACAATCATTAATTTGTAAGATGAAAAATCGACATAAAAATAAAGAATATTATATAGATATCTATAACCCTTGTCAGTATTTCCTGAAACAAACATTTTCTGAATCATAAACATATTTTGCCTGCTTACCATCCTTCTGGCCAGCTTTTCAAGATGTCTCTTTTGATGAGCCAGATGAAAAACTCTTATCAGAATGATAAGTCGTAGAGGTCGAAATAAAATTGTCAATCTAACAGTAAAAAGATTCATTTTTGCTTTAGAAATAGGATTTTGTCAATATGGACCAAGCCTAGAGCTGTAGTTCTTAACCAGGGGTGATTTTGCACACACACAAACCCCCCACCAAGCCTCCTACCCGCCCACCTATGGGATACTTGGCAATGTCTGGGGTTATTTTTGGTTGTCACACTGTGTATGAGGGTGTGCTACTTGTATCTAGTGGGTAGAAGCCAGGAATGCTACTAAACACCAATGCACAGGACAGCCCTTATAACAAAGAACTATCTGGTCCAAAGTACCAACAGTGCTGAGATTGAGAAACTCTGGTAGAGAGAAATAGTTATATGATAGAATTTGTGGACTGAACTTTTGTGATTTAAGATGAGGATTTTTCAATCATTTTCCCATCAAAAGTTTCTCCCATCAAAACAGTTCTTGTTCACCTTTGTGTTTCCCATCAGTAACAGAGGCTCACTACAGCTGCTAACACGTACCAGGCAGGCAGCAGATTGAGACACTTGCCGAGTGCGCTAGCTGGTGTCTCTCCTACCATCAGAAAAAACCATGATGGCAGAGAACTGATGGTTTGCATATGTGCTTCTCTAACTTGAGTGTGCATATGATTCAGTAGGTCTAGAGTGGGGCCTGAGGTGTTTTAGCTCTTGCATTTCTAGCAAGTTCTTAGGTGATACTGATGTTGCCAGTCAGAGGACCATATTGGATCCAGTTATTTTAAAACAACTCCAAAAGCCTATCATATAACATCAAATTTTGTTGGGACCTGAATTAAGTCCTAAGCTGTTGGAGTACAGAAAAGAGCAAGCTGTTGGACTAATGAGTGAGCTACCCAACATCTATATCCCAATATACATCTGTTCCTTTTCTTCATTGCCACAGTAGCAAGAGGAAAAGCAGCGGGAATCATCAGTCTCTCATACACATTTTAGTTTCCTGATACCTAAACAGTTCTAACTGCCTCAGCTTTCTTCATTTCAGCTGTACTGCAAAATTCCACTTCCATGGTGCTACCTTTGTCACTTTGTTTTCTGTTCCATTTGCTCTTTCTTAGAGAACCATCACTGGAGTCACCCAAATTTTGCATATGCTTAAACCAAAACTCTCTTGATTACAGGAAAAACCCAGGAATTTCATGTGTAAGGAACTTGTGATTGAAGCTCAATGGGAATTCAGTGGGAATTTTTTTAAATTTAAATTCAATTAGCCAGCATATAATACACCATTAGTTTTTGATGTAATGTTCAATGATTCATTAGCTGCATATAACACCCAGGGCTCATCACATCACATGCCCTCCTTAATGCCCATCAGGAGCATCACAATGCCTGACTTCAAGCTGTATTACAAAGTTGTGATCATCAAGACAGCATGGTAGTGGCACAAAAACAGACACATAGATCAATGGAACAGAACAGAGAGCCCAGATATGGACCCTCAACTCTATGGTCAACTAATCTTTGACAAAGCAGGAAAGAATGTCCAATGGAAAAAAGACAGTCTCTTCAATAAATGGTGCTGGGAAAATTGGACAACCACATGCAAAATGAAACTGGACCACCATACACAAAGATAAACTCAAAATGGATGAGAGACCTCAATGTGAGACAGGAATCCATCAAAATCCTAGAGGAGAACACAGGCAGTAACCTTTTTGACCTCAGTGGGAATTTCAAAATGTAGAGAAGTTAAAGTGAGTACAAGAGGCAAAGTCCCAAGTTTCTTCTTTAGGGACTCCATGTTCTTTATTCAGGTAAAGGTACTTAATCTGTACACCCTTCACTCTTCCCTAAATACAACCATCCTTTAGTTTCCAAGTATGTGGAAATTTGTCTGTTTCATTTTTTGCAGCTTATTTGGCTCAGAATCAGCACATTCAGACTTAGAAAGATATGCAAAAGGAAAACTACGGAAAAGGCCCCCAAAAAAACAAAAGAAAAAAATTAAAACTTTAAGGGAAATAAATATATATTTCTTACCTGGGGATAGTTTGAAGAGACGTAAAGTCATAAAACATATAAATCATATCAACCAGTAGAGTCACTACAATAATGACAGCATCTAAGTAGTTAAGTATATCAGAAAAGTATTGTTGTATCCTATAGTATAAAACAAAAAATATTAGTGTATGCTCTCCCAAAGAATAAATAGGGATATTTTAAGAACACGAATTATTTGACTCATCCCATTAAGAATTCTACTTTAATGGATTCTTTAAAATGCATACTAGACTAGACTAAGGGGGAAAACATCCAAACTGTATCTTATTTTATACATACAAATGACAAAAGCATCAATATGGCAACTTAAGTACGGTAAGAGATAGAACCAAATCACTGAACAAGAAGCAAGCAATACCTCCATGTATTGGGTGACAAAGGTGGGCTGTTTGGCAGTACTACTGAGCAACGGAAGCTAAATGTGTCACAGCTTTAGAGCAACTGGGCTGTGAGGAATGTGCAAGAGGAACACAAGGTCCAGTAATTTGGCTTGCAAGTTCTGGCTTTGCACCTACAGTAGAATCACAGTAGGCTGGGATTTCCTCCTGTGAAAGCTGAACTTCCATCCACTTTGCCTTCCTCCCCAACACTGGCTCCTTCAGCCACGAGCACTGGTGCTCCAAGGAACCCTTCTTCCAATTCTGGGGTAGCCCCTCTCAGGCTCTGTAACCTGGGGGTAAAAACAGTCCTTGGTTCTGAAGTATGAGGATAGAAGTTCAGCAGGAGAGGAGACAAGTAGTCTTCTGAAATGCTCTGGATGAAATGAGGCTGGGGAATTAGTCCCTGACTCCATCGCTGACATCTTCCAGGGCTTGGCTCACTTCATCCACATTTTCACAAAGCCAGCAAGCAGAGAAAATCAGCTGCTGCCTCACCACCAAGCTTCATTGATGGAATGAGCATGCTCAGATCTTTTATGTCCTTTAACATAAATTTTTATTTTAACTGAGGTAGGGGGTTGTTCCTGATCTATTATCTAGTACTGATACACTGTCAGCTTTTATTTAGATTCACCTCTTGGTGAGATTTATATTTATACCTCACCCACATTGTCCTCTTAATTATGTGCATGCAGACACAATGCTGCCTGGCCCCACTTTGCAAACCCTTTAAGCTTTACCTGTTGAAGGATCTATAATACATTGCTGGTAACTAGAGTGCCAGTTGCAACAATAATATTAAAGCCCAATCTAGTAGAAATTGGAATTTGGATTGTTTTCTTGTTGACCATGCCTCCGAGGAGAATTATTTTGATAAAGAGGGACACATTTGTTGGGTTGACTTGGTAATTATTTGGGGATGCTTCTCATAGCAGTACAAAATAGCTTTACATGCTTTTAAAAAATTAATCAAACTTACCCTTCTACATATACTCGAAGAAGAACATCCACGAAAAAAAATAAAGCAATAGCTAAAGAAATTGAACGATACTCCAAAGGAATGAACATCGTGCTCTCAGTGACAAGTAGGTCTATAATGATGAGGGACAGATCCACAAAAATCAGCAAAATTCCAAATATTCTACAACAAAAAAATAGAATAAAGATAAAGTGGTTTTCACTCCTCAAGTTAGGGTACTTTTAGGCCAACGATATGATACCAAGATGTCATATAGGATTAAATTGTCCACTGGTAGGGAATACTGTGTTGCCTTAGAATCTCAAAACAATTACTAAGTTTTCACCCAATGGAAGCAGTTGTTAGAGAATTAAAATTCCCATACCACCATTTCAGGTCATCATGCCCTTTTATAAAAGACACATCAGATTAATACTCTAAGATAGCACAGGCAACCTGAATTAAAGTTACATGTCTCCACTTGTAAACTCTTCTTAAATCTGAGAATTTTTTAAGGGGCTTCTACCAATTTCTCATAATAAATAAAACCTCATTCATATTGATAACTTCTACAAATTTAGCAATGAAAACCAAGTGAGAGCATGACTAACATAAGCCCTTAAAAGACCACTTTGACTAGTAAGATGTTTTATCAGTAAGATTATATATTAATAGATGCTTCTAGCAAAGTGCTGGGCACATGAGAAGGAATTCAATTCCATAAATATATGCATGATTGAACTCTAAAGTACCTCCTAAGCCTTTCTTTCATATATTCTAAACACATTTTTCATAAACTGATTACACTACTTGCATAATCTTGGAAGATAAATTCATTAGTCTTCAAAATACTTTCTTGAGTGACTCAAAAAGATGGCAGAGGAGTAGGGGAACCTATTTCAACCAGTCCCCTGATTTGAGCTGGATATCTACCAGAACATTCTGAACACCCACGAAATCAGCCTGAGATGTGAGAAGATCTATCTGGATCTCTACAAACAGAATATCCCTGGTGGTTGGTTTCGAGGTATGAAGCGGGGAGCTGTGATTCCATAGGCAGATATTGGAAGATAAATGGAAGGAGGAGGGAGCCTCCGGGATCCTGCACCACTGGTGCCTGAAAGCCTCCTGCACTGGGGACCCGGCACAGACTCACAGACTGGTAGCGGCAGGGAAAGGACTTTAGGACAGCCCCCCGGACTGAAACCTGGAGCTGCGGGGGCATGAGTATGAACTGGCGGCAGCTGGTGGTTTTAGAAGCACAAAGGGCAGAGATGTGCCTGACCTGGAGGCAAGGACTGGGAGTGCTGCTGTGGGGCACACAACCCAGGTCGCTATGGTTTTTAGGAACAGACAGAAACAGAGACGGTGTAGCCTGGAGAGCTCACTGAAGAACAGACTGCGATCTCTCTGTTCTGAGGCAAAGGGTTGGAAATAGTCTCTTCTGCTCTGACTCTTGGAAGAGATGTAGAAATCTGCCAGGGAAAGCCACCAGAGAACAAAAGCCCCCCAAAACTAGTTTTCACTGAGCCCATCCCCCGCCACAGGGGGCAGGGCAACTCTGCCCAAACAAAATTGCCTGAGTAGCAGCATGGCAGGCCCCTCCCCCAGAAAACAGGCTGGAAGAACAAGAGGCCGATAACCCTAAGGTTGTGGAGAGAGAGAGAGAGGACTAGAAGATATATTTGAGCAAATCGTAACTGAGAACTTCCCTAATCTGGGGAATGAAACAAACATT